CCCCCGGCTCTTGGCTCCGCCCCCAGGATACCCGGGCCCACCCACACCTATAAATGGCCAGCATCCCCAGCCTTGTACACATCTGTGATCAGTGGGCTCTGGCTCCACCCACTCGGCTTCTGGCTCTGCCCTTTGGGCCCTGGTTCCACCCCCTGGGCTTCCAGCTCCACCCCCAGGCCCGCCCATACCCCGGATGCCCACCATTGCCAGCTTTGAGCGTATCCGTGGTCACCCACTGGAGCCCTAGCTCCACCGACTTGGCTCCACCCACTGGGCCCTTGTCCCCACCCATACCTGTTGCCCAGCATTCCCAACCCTATGCATATTAGTGGGCACTCACTGCCCCCCCTTGCTCCACCTGCCAGGCCCAGGCTCCACCCGCTGCCTGCCCACCCTGCCAATCCCCAGCCCTATCCACACCCGTGTTGCTACCCCCTAGCTCCGCACAGTAGTCCTTCAGCTCCAGCCCACATCGGTGGCCAAGCCCCTCCCCTCCCTAATCACCTCATTGGCCAGCCCTGGCTCTGCCCCCATGCACTCCTTGGAGCTTAGAGGAAACACTGCCCTGGGCTGCAGGGATGTGCCTGACTCCGCCCCCTGTGTCCCCCCAGCCCAATTGCTACGCCAAGGTGATCACCATTGAGGCGCAGAAGAAGATCGTGATCTACTCGAAGCAGCCAATCGGGGTGAACGAGGAGATCACCTATGACTACAAGTTCCCCATTGAGGACAACAAGATCCCCTGCCTGTGCGGCATGGAGAACTGTCGCGGCACCCTCAACTGAGCCCCACCCCCTATTTATTTGCCCTGCCCCCCTCCCAGGCAAAGCCTGCCTCAGTTTCCCCTCCACCAAGTGGCCCCAGGATGCTTTGAGGTTGGTCAGGTGGAGTGGCTTCCTTGTTCAAAGGAAATCTCTCCCGTTGTCCCCCTGGGCTGCCTCGGTTTCCCCTCTCCAACCAAATTCCCCAGAGTCCTTTCAGGTGGGGGGAGCTTCCTCACCCATTCTCACCCTGGGCTGCTTCA